GCAGAGGTGGCAAAAGTGGCTGAGTTTAAATACTTGGAGTCAGCTGTTCAACGTAACGGAGTGCGGAAGACAGTTGAAGAACAAAGTGCAGGCAGGGTGGAGTGGGTGGAAAAAAGGCGCAAGGAGAGATTTGCGACAAAAGGGTGCCAGCAAGAGTGAAAGGGAAGGTTTACGGCGGCGCTGACAAAAAGACAGGAGGCAGAGCGGGAGTGACGAGGATGGACAGGACTGGGAATGAGATCTTAGAGGGACAGCTCAGGTTAGACAATTTGGAGACAAAGCGAGACAGGCGAGATTGAAATGGACATGTGGAAGAGAGATGCTGGGTATATCGGCAGAAGGATGCTCAGGATGGAGGCAAGAGAAAAAGAGGAGGTTTAGGGATGTGGTGAAAGAGGTCATTTAGGTTAACCATGCAAGGCAGCTGGACTCATGAAATCACAAGATCATACGAGAATCCATCTTGCCAGGCTTCAATCTATGTGTTTGTGGCCAAACGACGTGGTACAGAGGAAGCACTGACGCGGTTGGGCACAGAGAGGATAGTGTAGATGCTGCTAGCATCAGTTATATCAGAGCTAAAGAGTATTTCTTTGTTGATTTTGCTCTTGTCCCACATGACTTCAGTAAGAGTTTTACACGTTATATGGCTTGTTGATCTGATTGGTTGAAATTCGCTCACCATAGATGCTGATAGACAGATGGTTAATTTCCAAAACGTTTGAAATGAACCCAGATGGCAGCGATTAAGATTGCCACCAAAAAGTAACTGTGAGAGAAACAGAATTTCCAGGAGACAGGGTTGTTCATTTGTGATACTCCAACATGTCTTTGGATGCCTCAGTATTTTTTTTTAAAAATGTGCTTTTTGGATCATCCAACAGCATCTAAAACTCCCTTTCCAGAATCATGGGATGGAAAGTTTTGTTACTTTCCAAAACAGACAATCCATCAAACACTTTCCTGCTGTGACGGACCACATGTGAAATGTAGCAATTTTTTTCATTCATTTTTCATTCATCCACAACACCATGAAAGTCTTTTGAGGAGCTGTGCTTCACGGTGGTATTTGTTGGGTCTCTTTTCCATATGAAGTGTGAGAGCTATAATAGATAACGTCGGTTACAATTTGGCGTTACATAAATAAAATTGAACTGAATTCAATTGAATGTCACTTTGTACGATTCATCTGTGTCTCAGATCGATATTCAGTCAGACTGAATGACTTTAATTTGTTGAATCCAAAGTTAACAGTCTGTTTTGTTGTATGTCACTTTGACAAAAGGTGGTTGGACTTTCTCAGGTTGCTAAAGTGCAGAATGAATGTGTCTTTGTTTGGTGACATCTGACGTTGCTCATTATCTTCTTGGATTTCTTTTTTGGATTCATACACGCTTTTTATCTAGCTATAATTTTGCCATCATGATTGCCTACACTGTTATTCTACTATGGTGGCCCCTCTTCTTCCCCATAAACAGATTTTTTAAGGCAGTTTTTCCTCATCTGAATCAAGGGCCTAAGGATAAAGGATGTCGTATGCTGTAGCCTATAGACTGTAAAGCCCCTCAAGGCAAATTTGTGATTTTATATTGGGATGTATAAATAAAAATGATGCAGGTTGGCTGAATTCACGCCTGACTTCCTAAGCATCTAATTCCTGTCTGGACACTTGAGACTCCTGAAATGATAAGACACAGACAGACATCCTGAGAGAAGATGGAGGACTATGTAAGGCTGTTACATGAGGACAATTTCCCACATCATTCCCCTGATTGCAAAGCAACAAGAGGGTTATTCAGACACCCCACAGCAAGAGAGAGAGTGTTGTGTAAGAGATGTTACAAAAGACGCACTTCAAAAGACAGCACAAAACAGCTCCCTCTGGTCCTTTTGTTGCTGTGATGTAAGCTTGTCTGCCAATACACATATCCTATAAGAGACACACGTATGCACACACTCTTCTGCTGTAGCTTAATGACTTAATTTGAGACAGTCCAATTGCACAAAGGGCAGGCATTTATATATATGTTCAATACCAAAGTAACCAAATCAAGAAGAATAACCAAAATACAAACAGGCATTTAGAGACAATTCCTAACACAATGAAATAATCAAATGAGCAACTGGGGATGCACAAGCAAAACCAGGACACTCTGAGGAGACGCCCTGTGAAATGTTGACTGCGTTTATACATTTTAAATCAACCTGAGCATGTTGAATGTCCTTGCGTGCACTTCCCATTAGGCTACATTTTAACATTTGCATTTAAAAGATATTCTGAATCAGGAAGAAAAACACCAGTCTCCAGTGGCAGCCCAGCCCCAACCTCTGATGTATCCATTCTATCTCCCCACCCTGCAGGACAGAGGTTTATTCCATGAATTATTGATCGTCCTCCAGACATCATCCTGTCCTTTTGTGTGTCACCCACAAAAAATGAAAATCGAACAAATAACAAAGACGTCATACCGATGGTTGAGTCTGATTTGTGGTTCTGTGAGGTGTCTGTGTTCGTCTGCTGAACTGCTTTGTAGTGTGTAATGGTTTTTACCAACCTAAGTGCTGAAGCCAATGCAAAAATGCCTTAAAATACAGGACATGGAGTCAGTAGCTGCTGATTCCAAAACAATTAATGACAATTTGCGATTTTTCTCAAATGATGGTTTATCTTCGAATTCCTATGAAGTAGCAGTTTTGTGATTGATTGTCTCATTGAGATTTTTGAGTTTCAACGTCAAACATTACCCTAAGAGAAGCCAAATATAACAAAATTAGGCAAAGAGTAAAGTTGTTAGCATCACATTTTGATATCTTGGAGACAGTAAGTAAGGTTATTTGAGGAACACCAAGGGGGAGGTAAAGCTGAGTGTCATCAGCATAAGAGCAATAGGAAATATTGGTTTATTATTACTTTTGACCATTTTCTGAGAATATTGGCTTTGCTGTTCCTGTTATGGTTATTAAGTGTCCTTGAGTACCTTTTAAAGCAATATATAAAATAAATGTATTATTATTATCATTATCACTAAGAGATGGTACCTAAGATGGTACCCTGTGGGATGCCACAGTCAGATTAGAGGTTCAAGGTTGAGTCCATAGGACTAAGTGGTCTAGTGGTGTAGCTGCAGATTACCACTCCATCGCTTCACCCTCCCCTTCCAAGCACAAAGGAGAAACAGGAACTACCCTATTTAGAACCAGTGTTTGATTTGTCCCCTCAGGGCTACTGCAGAAACATGGTGGATATAAACGGCTCACTCTAAGGTAAAAAAAACCACAATGATTACAATATTTAGGTGATTATACACCAATGACATCATACCAATGGATATTATATATTTCATTTCTGCCGATAGATCCTCCTTAATGAACCTCTAACTATTTTCACTGGCTCTAAGACAAAATATGAACCATTCCATGGCTGTGACATCAATAAAAATCATGTAAAAAAGAGGTTTTATGGTCATTATCCACTCCTTAAAGGAGTAAATAAGTTCCAGCCTGCTTATATATATCTGGTGTTTTCTGTCCTTGCCAGGTCATGTTTTAACCATAAATCGGACCTCCATCTGCTTATTAGTCCAGAACCTTGCCAACATCACCTTTGAATGAACCACTGCTCCATATAAAGGAAACATAACCCCTGAACAGCCACTATAATCACTGCTACGACCAATATGTCAACCCCGGTCCTAACACCATGGCCCTCAACAGACCAGTACAACCTTAGACACACACACACACACTTTGACCTACTGACATTTATATACACACATACACACACTGACCCACAGACAATGACCTCAGCAGACTGGCCTGGCCCTTGCAATCACCCACACACCTGCTGTCTGACCTTTCTTCTATCCTTATAGAGCCTGATTGATCTCTGCACAGTATTTTATTTCTGCAGACATACACCAAAGACTCGAGCACATTAAAGCTTCCCTGTGCAGGCTCTTGCTAAAAAACAATCTACAGCAGTCTCTACATGTTTGTGCCTACAAAAATTAAATGAATTGAATTAAATGGTAAGGTGCCGTATAACTGCACATTAGCAAATATGCCCTTGGACTTAACAGTATTTGTCAAAACAGCATCCAAGAAAAACAGCTTCAGATGAACATTATCAGCTAAAACTAAACTAGTATCAGACCAAACAGCCTCATACGGTATTGAGTGAACCAGCTGACTTTGCAAATATCCCAAACAGTATTGTCAGGTGACATCGGCCTTCTACTAGCCTTTTTAACTTAAATACAGGCTGTCCCATCAGATGTCCAGTTATCATACTGACAATGTTTCTCTTGTGGCCCTTTCAGTCTAAGAAAGGATCTTGTTTTTCCATGCTTTTGGCGAAATGATGCTGAGGTCTGAGATTTTGTGTACACAGTACAGTCCATACACACTAAACCAGACACATTCATACTCTCGCTCTCAGCTACAACGGTCCAGCAAAGCAGGAATGCAAAAAGAAAAACATCATGAAACCACCGTGTTACCATAAACTCTGTACATCCAGACTGTAAACTAAACTAACAGAGAGCAAAGTTAAAGCTGTTATTTCATGCTTCATGCCCAATTTATCACAGCAGCTTGGGCAAAAAGTTTGTGTTTTCCACATATTTCATAAACCAAAAGTGTGTTTTCCACTGCAGTTTGTGGTACAGTGGGGAAAGGAGAGGGAATGTCGTGTTTCCAGTGTGAGAAATGTACAGTGATACGCTTGAGAAACAAACTTCAGACACTGAGCATAAGAAAATTGAAAATGAACTGCATCTGTGTGTGGAGACACAGAGCAGATAAGCTTTAGTAATTCTTTGGGGTCACAAAAGACTCCCAGCCAAGTGATATCATATCGCACAATATTATGCAACAATATACTGTTACACACCTGCAGCCAAACATTAAGATTGCTAAGAGAAAGAAGAAGAGTGTGTGTATGCATTTGGTGTGCATAGCTGGAGAAGGGAGAAAGTTTGTGTGTATGTTTACTATCCTACCTGGTGCCGCCTGCATCTCCATGAGACCTCCTGTTGTGATTAGAGCCTCCAAGATCCTGACGTGATGCTCCGGGTTCACGTCCGCACTGTTGATAAAAACACAAACATGAACAGAAGCTGTGGTCAAATTGTGGTAAAGGGCACTGCTGAACGATGGCAACAGGAACTGACTTTTTCATATTGCATTAACCCTCAACCTACTGCCATATTTAACATGCAAGGACAACCCAACTGTAAGAAACATTTGTTTCTTCTCAAAACATTGTTAATAATGTAAATCTGTGTCCGCCTCCCAGGGGTGATTCCAGACTTTTTTGACAGGGGTGGCACAAGTGTGACACTGACTTATGTAGGGGTGACATTCAGTGTGTCTCAGCTTTCCAGTCATTCCCAATGTATGCAATTCCCACACTGTTTATGGACCCCAGTATGCAGAAATATTGAAATACACAAGAAAAAAATAACACATTTATACAACATGCAAGAAACTGCATGTTTTTTTGCCCCAAACTGCATGGGATTAGCATAAAATGGGCATTTCTGCAAAGGGGAGACATGTGGGTTCCCAAATAACTTATTTTCATTCAGATATCTGGAGGTCATGCCAGTTTTTCAGTTGCCAAAATGTAGCCTCATTTTGCAGCGTTACTTAGCCCCCTTCTGTTCTGACATGCTAGCATGACGTGGTTGGTACGAACAGATGCGTCAGGTCAGTTATTCATTGATACCAGTATCTTCACTCTAGCCTTAAAACAGAGTCTGCCACAGCTTCTGAAAGACAGTGTGGAGTGGAAAACGTAAAAATAATGAGGTGGCACTGCACAATAAGAGTAGAATAGAAGCCATAAAAACTAAATAAAAAAGATAGAAAAGTACACACATTCTTTAAGTGCAGATACTAGAAAAAAGACTCTTTACTCAAGTAGAAGTGAAAAAGTACAGGCTGTGAAATGGACTTTCTAGGTTTTTCTGAAGGACATTTCTACGGGCTGTTTCTGTGCGAAACTAACTGAAACTTCGAACAGGGTCCTAAAAAAATGTAAGGAGTAGAAAGTACAAATGATATTGTAGTAAAAAGTAAAAAGGTTAGTACAGATGAAACTACTAACAAAGTATTTATACTTCTCATCTCTCATTCTGAACTAGTGGTAATTAGAGTTGTGCCTCCGAACAATGAGAGCTCCTCAGTGACAGACGTTCAGCCACGCAGTACAAACACTGAGAGAAAGAACAAGTGAGGGGAAAACAGCTATAGAGCCAGTGTATTTCCACATCTAACTGCGGTGAATTAAGGGTTTATTTTGACTAGTTTGGCAATGGAATACAGTTACAAGGTGATTCACAGAGGCTCCAACCAGGACTCTGACTCAGGGGAAGAATACAGCAGGGACAGGAGAGGAGAGGAGCGAGGGAGGTCGGGGGGCATCAGAGAGGCAGCAGCATAGAGACAGAATATTTTCACATCTAACTCTGTTATCTGGTTAGACAGCAGAGTTGGTGATTGTTGGAACAGTGGAAAGGCTAATAAAGATGGTTTGGTCAGTTTATTTTGTTTCCATCAAGTCTGAATGCGTTTTAAGATCTCGTAACAAGGTCTTAGTTCGGTATAAGAGAGAAACTTGAAATCAGAGGGTGTACGGATTGTATTCTTCTGATGAGGAAAATATGTTTTTCTTTTCCTTACTTGACATTTGGTGAGTTTATTTTCTTTATTAAAGCTGTGAGAGCTCATTGCACGTAGTGAACTCACCACTCATCTCCCAGCTGCAATTAATGGGGCAGTGTTGGGGGGGGGCTAGCACAGCACACACGCATGGGCAAATATATCGGCAATTGTAGGAAAATTTTAACATATTGCCCAACCCTAGCTGTAATGAAGGATCAGGTCTGTTTTTAATAGATTTTGAAAAACAAAGGAGCTCTATAGGGACAGAGGAATAAAATATATCACACAATACTTATCAAAAAGATCAATTTTACTTGGTCTTTTAATGAGACTTATTGATAATAAGAGAAATACTGAATACTGGCAGACCTCGTAGTTGTGCTCCAGTATGCTGCAGTAAAGTCCAATCAATAGAATATGTGTGACTATCTAAATACTTGCAGACTGCAGTGTAAACTCACCAACTATCTAGAATTTATCAACATTTCCAAACACAAAATAAGCTAACACGGGACCTGATTGTAATAGCATGGCATGCTATAATACGCCGCCCCACTCTTTATCCGCCCGTTGTGCACGTCAGAGGTGAATTGGTTGACCAGGCTGTGCAAACAATCACAGCTTCTGACTCACCCAAATCCACTACATCTCCACCGCACGCCACAAGGAGAAAATTCCTCGCTAATTTCTGGAAAAACAGACGCAGGCGAGCTTGTGCAGGGTAGAGAAACAAAACAATACCATCAGCCCCGTTAATGCCATTCTCTCAGAGTTCAAACATCCAGCTCTTCAACTGCAGGATGTTGATATTACAGCTGAGCCAAATATCAGGCTTGGTCTTCCTGTTAGCGAGGGCAGAGCTTTTACTACAAATATATATCAGGTCTTTGTGCTGTGTCAAGGCAATCTCACTTAATTGGTTTGAGTTTTGTAAGGGAAATGAGCAGTGGTTGATTTGTGGAGGGTTTAAAAAAAGTGCCATTCAGCCAAAAAGTTTGTTTAGTTCTTTGGCTGGCTGATTCACAAATGTAGAATGGAAAGAAAAATAGCCTCTTCGCACCAAATACTGTGGGACTTTTACCAGAGAAGTGGCTGTGATTGGAATAATCAGTGGTTTTTACACCACAAATGGATAATTAAAAGAAATGGTTACATTGCTAAAGAGCATAAATGACATTTCACAGCTGCATCATTTTCATCATTTGTAATTTTCATGTTTTTGATTTTGAACTTACATCATTTTTCAAGGACCATGAAACGTGAAAAGAATGAAATGGGCAAAAATGATAATTTTAAATTTGCTATGCCTGCTAAAATGCTATCATAGCATAAAAATTATGAATGATTTCCTTTTTCCTGCTTGGTATGGTATCACTGCTTCACTAGCAGCTGTAGAGCAGCAATCTGGGAAATTAACTTGAGCTGGCTTGAGAGGTTCTGGAAACAGTCACGTTCATCAAAGTAACAGTTGGGGCACATTAAAGTTGGTCCACGCCTGTGGACGTAAAAACCAAAGGTAAGAAGTCAACTACGACTCCCAAGGTGCATTTCAACTGCAGAGGTAAAAATGTTGTTGGTTTTGTCGTGAGCTGAAATTGCCATTACGAGCCTTAATCAGCTCACTTTCAAATTCTGGGTGAGTTTTGGGTGACTTCAGCACAGCTCACTGTTATTTCTTCCTGATTGCAATGACTAAGCGTTTTGAATTTGCTACAGCTCTGAGTCATGGCTCTTCTTCCCGTATAACTCTACCAGCTGAAGCATCGCAGTGTTTAGAGCCATCTGCCATAGAAATGACATGTCAGAAACAAAGTTGAAATAATTTCAACTGGCGGCCATAACATAAACATATTTTATCATTGCATTATCTGGGAAACTCTATGACCCCCTTTACACACAGAATTAAAATGTGTTTTGGGTGATCAGATTACAATCAGATACTGCATGACCACATAAACAAGTATGTAAATGTACCAAAGATGCACTGAGGATGAATTGTGGTTCCACTGGAGGTGGACAGGGACGCATTGTGACCACAGCAGAAATACCTCTTCTCTAGACTAGTGTGCATGAATACGCTAAAAGAGCGCCGTTCATTGAACATATAGGTTTTTGGTCAATGGTGAACTGAACGTATTGTTATCCCACATATAAACACAGTACAATGCATAGTGAAATTTGTCCTCTGTATTTAACCCATCCTACTAACTAGGAGCAGTGGGTAGCCACTGTACAGCGCCTTGGAACCAACTCCACATCAAAGCCAGTGCCTTGGTCAAGGGCACCGACTGGAGAGATCAACCGAACATACATGTTTTTAATAATGGGGGAAACCAGAGAAGAAAACCCAGAGAAAACCTACAAGGACACGGGGAGAAAACATGCAAGCGTCACAGATAAAGGCCCAGCGGGGAGTGAGGACTCAGTTGAAAGGAGTGTTACTACAGATACAGATAATGTACTTTTTATATGTACGAGTACCAAAACAAATAAAACGTATAAATCTAATATCTGTAAGTTTGTGAGAAAGTTATTCTGTGGCGCTCCTATGAGATAAAAATAACAGTGGCCCTAAGCAGGGTTGAGACCCCAGGCGTAAGGAGAGTTTAGAATGAGGAACATTTCAGATTGAAAAGACAACATTGAATTTAAAACCTTCACAGAAAGAGCTCTTCTTTTACTCAAGGTGTGTTCCATTTTTCCTGCTTTGCTCCTGAGGTAAGCATCATATTGTTTCTGTGTCCCTGAGAGGCTGATACAGTGATTAACTACCGAATATATGAACCTGACTTGAATTTGAATAAAGAAACAAATGCAATGATACACAACATAAAGTACGGCGTGGAGGTAAAGAATGCCACAAAGTGAAGTGCCGCTTTCTGGTCAAACTCAAAAACAGATGCTGCGTTTAAATCCTCCTCAATGTCAAAGAGTTTTTGTAGTCAGTTAACTGCTAATGGAGCCTGAAGCTTCAGTGCTGTTGCTATGGTTACCTGCAGTTTGATGCACCTTGAGCACTGATTAAGAAGAATGAAGGTTGTACTGTGTTTTAGCTGGATTTCAGCGGGCACCTTCAAACCGATCAGAAACGTATATCCTTTGAGGCTAAAGCTAAATTATAAGCGCATGAGCAACCAAAATCCACTCAGTTAAAGGGTAAATGAACGAGGAGTGAAACCTGCATACCTGAGGGGAGAGTTCTTGAAGACGGTCTCGGCAAAGGACTGGGCCAGCAGCCGGGGGCTGGCCTGGCTGAGCTGGCTGACCAGGGCCAGGTGTCTGCTGAGGTGGACCAGGAGCTGGTGGTTGGCCTGAGGGATGCTGGGAGACTCCAGGATCCTCTTCAGCCTCTCCCCGCACTCCTCCACACTCTGACTCTCTGCAGGACAAAAACAACAGCAGAATGGATTCTTTAGACCATTAAACCGGGTGAATTTACATTTCATCAAATGTTCATCATCAGCCTTTGTACCTGTTCATTTCCACTCACACAAGGTCTTTTGTGTGCCTGTGAGCGTAGAGATCCCCCTTTATTATAACCCTGACACCTAGCCCAAATCATAAAGGAGAGCCACAATACAAAAGCACCTGTTCCTTTGACCGTGTAGTATATGTTTTACATCCAAATGTTAAGATATTCCAGCCCGTTCCAATTCCCAGAGAGAAGTTCACACCTCATGGCGTCTCCATGCTGAAGCACAGGGTCCCATTTAGTGTCTGTTTGAGATACAGTGGGATGTCATCTAAAACCAAAGTAAGCTATCGATTAATTGAGTGATCTATGGATTATTTCCTCTAGGATTTTTTCACCAGCAGAGAAAAAGCTTCTGTTGGACCCCCTGCTGTAATTTTCCTGTCCATAATGGCCTGCTGATCTCCCTGCCTACCGATCGTCTGGAGACAAAGCTACGCCAAGTACATTTCTCAAGGACACACCTTACCGGAAACTTTTGGACAAGCACATGATTTCTGCATGTCCAATATGAAGGGCTGCCCTAAAGACTTTAAACTGTTTCCAGCCAGTTTTAACAACAAAAGGTTGTCCTTGTATATTTTTAAGTTTTTGATGGAGTGAGGCTAACAGTTTCCCCACCCGGATCCAACATTACATAACGCCCAAATCAACTATTATTTAAAGAAAACGTTCCTGCATCATAATGTGACCATGAGCATGAAGATGAAAATGCATGCGTCTGTGTGTCTGAGTGAACATCTGATCAGACACCCTGCATCTCTCACATTAAAAAACATTTCACTCGTACATGTTGAACACGGAGCAGACGTCCCTGCTGCGCTGCCCGGTGAGCAACCACCTCTATCAATATCCATCCGAGCATGTAGCCAACTGCTAGCTGACTTTGAGGAGCTGTGCGGCCTTGGCAGGACATCAGTGATTTGAATTCAGACCCAGTCCGACAGCCAGCTGCTAGCCAGCTAGCCTGACAGACGCTATGGAGAGAATCACAGGGGTTTCGCATACGGACACTTGTAAAACTGACACAGCAGGAGGCGGCACAGGGGATAATACGACTCCTTTTTCTTGTATTAGCCGGGTTTCAGACAATGGGCCGTGTTTGAAGAGGACCAGACCTATTCACGAGAGCTCTCACCACAGGCCCTTTACCACCGCAAACAAGAAAACATCTGTGCCCGAGCCCGCTGTGTGCTGGGTTTATGACGGGGAGAGCTCAGTGGGAGACGGGAACAGATCTGCTGCTGAACAGCAGACTGATCGAGTCCATTTATCTCTGAATCTGCTGTATGCAAAGGGATTCCATGTGTAGATCCAGTTTTATACAGTCTGAATTTATAATCAGGTTTGTGTTGGTGAGACTGAATGATTGAGGCTGAAGAGCGAAATTAAAATCAACCACAACTTGATTAGGACTCATGTTTAGCAAAGATTTTCCCTTTTTTTGTTGTGTGCTGTAGTGTTTGATGTGTTAGAGCCACACAATAATTCAATATTTTAGCTGAATTGTATATTTACATTATAAAGATATAGCAAAGTCACATAAAAATAAAATAAGATAAAAAAGGAAGAAAGAAAGATTAAAATAAGGAATAAAACAAATATAACTAAAATAAAATATAACATCACTGTATAAATACGTCAAGTGTACAGAGGAGTATCACAATAAAAAGAAATATGTGCAATATACTTCAATAAATATGCTTATACACTTTCTTTCTGATAAAGCAGCAGACTATGTAGTCACTGAGACTTCACAGCTCATAGAATTACATCAATTTGACTATTTTAAATCTAATTTTAGCAAAAAACATGTTTTTTAATATATTGATTATTTTTACATGCCTTATCTGTTCAATAATATGTGTTTGGGCTTAAAGTATATCCATTGAAAGTTGTATCAGCGTATCATTAACATTCAGTATTGCAAGTTATATTCACAGAAACAGCTCAGGGTAAAGTTTCCATAAAAGGAAAAATATAGATCCACAGTTTTAAATGTACTGAGTCTCTTTGATATCATCATGTCCTATTTTAAAAACTTCTGAGTTATTCAAAGGATTATGGATGTGAGCGAGGAGGAACTGTTATCTGTTTCTTTCCAGGGAGTGAACAGTTGTAGAAGTCCGCTTTGTGTTTCCTGGAGCTTTAAGAGCAGAAACCTGAGGTGCATAAGAATGAGTCTGATCATGATAATCTGAAACAGGAATGACCTTTAATATTAACCTCTTTTATATGTGGATCTTTTACTTTGATGAAGAGATTTACCAACAGATTTTTTTTTTACAATAACTGCAGGATTATGTAGTTTATTTAATCATTGCAAAAGCAAAAGCAAATGTAGCTTTAAAGCCCCCCCTCCAGTAAGAAATCAGTGTTTCTTCTTGTTCCTGCAGTGTGATGTTTGAAAGTTGTTGCTGGTCCATTATGCAACTCAGTGAGATCCACCAGTGCACGGACACTGAGAATGGACTTTACAGTGAAGGAGGAGACATCTTGTGTCCAGTAGGAAATTTGCATATTCATCTTTAATGAGGTAAAAGGAGTAGATGAGTTGAACACCCATTGTTACCAATCATGTCATCTTGGGAAGGGGGGCTAAATATTGCTCCAAATTGAGGCTAAATTGTGGTGATGGAAAAACTGGCACGGCCATTTTCAAAGGGATCCCTTAACCTCTGATATCTGAATGAAAAGAAGCTCTATGGGTATAAGTCTTCCCTTTGCAGTCATACCCACTTTATGCTAATCCCATGCAGTTTCTTCCTATTTTAGTGTCTTTGACTATTTCTGCACCCTGGGGTCCTAAACTATATTGGAATTGCATAAATGGGGAATGACTGGAATGCTGAGACACATACTTCATGCCACTTCTGTCAAAAGTTAAGTGAAAGTGAACAGAACATAAAAACTCAATGGAATTCAATAGAAAATGTTAAGTTTCTGTCCTTTCCTAAAATTCCTTTAAGCTTGTGCTGTATAACTTAAGGTCATAGTATTATGCAAAAGTCATAAAAGGTTTGAATTGTCATTTTCAGTTGTAGTAGATAAAGTAGTGGACGTTGGTTCTTAGCACATAATAAACCTGTCAAAGGTGGTCGTGCCATCTGGATCTATATACATACACATGTATATATATGTAAACTGATTTGTGTGGTGCAGTGCTGTACATGTGTGCATGCTGTTTGTATCCAGGTGTTAGAATGCTGATATGTATTGATTGACCGTGTGAGGTATCGGTGTATTTGGCCCTCTGTGCAGGAACTGAAGTGTTCACATCGATCCCAATAACACGGAGTGCCAGCAGAGAGCTGGAAGGACTGACAGAACGACTGACTGTATATCTGACAGCTGACTGATTGGATGGATGGAGAGAGAAGCTGTAAAAAGGCTCTCGCAGCTCTGGAGACGCAGGTTCTGTTGTGGAGTAAGATAACATTCGTAATGACACAAATGTCTAAGAATCTCTCAATCTTACAAAACGTTTGTATACATTGTTCTTCACAACGATGGTCATTTTCAGTTTTAATGGTTACAAACATCATTTCCCACAAGCCTAAGGCCTTCCATGGATTAAATGTCAACGTCCCATCTCCCACTAAATCAATCAATCAGACTTTATTTGTATTGCATCTTTTATACAAGCAAAAGGTAACACAAAGTGCTTCACACATTAAAAACACCCTCCGACCCCCCCACCTCAGCTTACCCAAAGGTAGGTCTTGAGTTTGCTTTTAAAAGTGTCAGCACTCTCCGCTGCACTCAGGTCCTCAGAGAGGCTGTTCCAGAGACGAGGACCATAGTGATAAAACGATGCCTCACCGAGGGTCTTTGTCCTGGCTTTAGGGATAATTAAAAGGCCACTACCTGAAGTCCTAAAGGGTTCATAGGCTAAAAGCAAATCTGATAAATAAGTAGGACTAAGACCATTAAGAGCTTTATAAACCAATAAAAAGATCTTAAAATCGATTCTGAGGCACACAGGTAGCCGATGCAGAGACTTTAGGGTTGGTGTAACGTGTGCTCTCTTTCTGGTCTTCATCAACACACGTGCAGCTGAGTTTGGAAGTAATTGTAATCGAGCTATATTCTTTTTGGGAAGGCCGGGAAGTAGAGCATTACAGTAACCAATCCTGCAGGTAATAAGAGCCTGCGAGAGAAACGACTGCACTCTGGCAATGGTGAATGGTCCTGTAATTGTATAGCACCTTTCTAGTCTTCCGACCACTCAAAGCAGTAAGGCATTCATACACATTCACGGTTCAGTGCCTTGCTCATGTGGCAGGAGGAGCTGGGGATTGAACCAACAACTTTCCAATTAGCGGACGACCCGCTCTACCTCTGAGCCACAGTCGTATCTAGCAGTGAAGTTCAATTAAATTTTATTTGTGTAGCTCCAATTCATCACAGAAGTTAGTTGGTTTTATTCATTCTGGGCTACTGAAACAATATAATATTCAATTTCTGCCCATAGATCCCCCTAAATGTTACAGACTGGACCTTTAAAACAAATTGTTTTTTGCATGAATACAATCATTCCCTGTGAGTCCTCTGTAAGCAGGAATGCAGTCTGAAGCCCACATAGACTGGTACCAGTACAAGGAAAACTACTGTATAATACTGTACATTAATTTAATGGTTCCACAGATAACTATAGAGTATTTGTAACATTTCAGAAGCTAATTAGTTGTGATTCAACAATTCATCATGGTTAAGGTGTGTTCATAAATTGACACATATACATCTCTATTAACTGTAATCTTTAGGTGGACTATCCAAATAAAGTGTGACCCATTTAGCAGCCATAAAATTGATCAAATTTGGTTTTATATCATACATATTATAAAGATTGTGTGTAACATTTGCATAAATCTAAAAAGCAATTTTTTTATTTTTAAAATGTACAA